AAACAAGTTAGAATTCACAGAATTGATATATCACCTCTGGACAGTGTAAGTGAAGACAGTTCATTATGCTAGAAGTGGAGGGGCAAAGGGAAGTTTACAAGGAGATCGATACAGGTATGTTCAGATTAATGTTTTGATAAGAACCACTGATGTATGGGCATCTTCTGGCTACAACATAGGAATATTTTAATTCAGAAAGAACATAACTTGCTAGTATTTTGGTAAATAGATCTAATAAGAAACTCTTAGAAGCTCTCTTAAAAAGAAGCGGGAGGCACACCCTTATTTAGCAGAGTTCATCTCTGTATGCCTATCTTGCACATTACAAATGTCCTCTGGGGCTAAAGAGATGGCTGTTGGCTGCTCTCAAAAAGGACCCGGGTTTAGTTCCCAGCACCACACAGTGGAACAACCATCTGTAACTCTAGTTCCAGGGGCTCAAATGGCGCCTTCTGGCCCCCATGAGCACTGCACACATAGTACACTTATATACATGTAGGCAAAACACTCATACACACACACACACACACACACACACACACTTTTTAGTTACAACCGAAAACCAAATGAGGAAATGGGTGAGGAAGTATTAGCAGCTGATCACTGATGGGTGAGGGAGAGTTGGTCTTCCTTGAGAGTGATGCCAGATAGGCTAACCAGCCTCCAGTGCATGAACACACACCAAGGGACACAAACTTGACTCAATGGGTCTCAATATTTATGACAGACGGCGTGAAACCTGGTGGGAGAGCTGGGAGTGCAGACAGAGCAAGGGTCTAAACAGGGTTAAGATATGTGATATGAAGGGCACAAAACTGTAATAAAAATATATATCGAAAAACAAACCCAAAGGGATATCAGAGGGGAAGAATGACAAACTAAGCTACTTATAGCCCTACAAAGGAATAGTCAGTCATGAAACATGAAGGACAGTAAAAAGTATCAACACAAAAGAAACTAAAAAATGCATATGTCCACGAGTGTGCACAAGTACATGAACGCTCATGTATGATATACTTGGGAGCTGTGTGTGCATGCATGCGTGCATGTATAATGTGCCTGGGAGACTGCCTCTGGACAAGTGAATAGGAGCACTGAGAAGAAGGGAGAGAGACTTCATCTTTCTGGTCTTTTATCATTTTAAATCAGCTGAATATAACCTGTTTACAAACCGAAAGTTAGAAGATAAACATTACAAGCAGTAACCAGCTAGAGACAGTGGCCTTAACTCAGAACACAGGTTTCCTCCCTCTAACAGTCCTTGAAAGCAGTCCTTTGTTCTCCCTGCTTGCCCTGCCCTTTGCCTACTGGAGTCAAATGCATTGGATTCCCACCTGTAATGATAGAAATTGAGAGGGAAGGAACTTTAGTTTCCATTAAAGATACATAGTACACTACTTTTATTTTCTTTACATTTAAACACGTATGTGTGGTGTGTGTGTGTGTGTGTGTGTGTGTGTGAGAGAGAGAGAGAGAGAGAGAGAGAGAGAGAGAGAGAGAGAGAGAGAGAGATTGAAAAACCAGCAGGTAAATCTGAGAGATTTGTTTCTGATACACTATGAAAACGGTATGGGCACATGTAAGTTTAAAAGTCTACCCGAAAACTTTTAAAATCAAAAGTACTGCTGGAATATTACAAAACCATCACAAGGTAATGTGGACTGTACAGACACCAGTAGAATCTAATGAGTCTAAAATCCTATGTGTAGTAAAATGCTGATATTATATTCAGGTAGCTTCAAGTTGGAAACTACACAGTTCAAGATCACTGTTAGTCAATGAAACTTTTCAAAACTTAAAATATAGCTCCCCCTAATATACTGCTCTGTACTTTTTAATACAGTAACCTGTAAGATAGGACTTTATACTACAAAGTAAACGTAGTCTTGCATTACAGTTTTTCTACATGTTCCAAAAGAAAAAGATTTGAAAAAGCTCAGCTCAGAGAACGCTTCTTGCAGAGAGCTTTAGTTAATTCAAAAGGAACTTGCATCACATATACAAATCTGTTGATCACTGTCGAACACAGAAAATACTCATTAATGAAGCACACGCTTAGCACAATAGAATAGTAGTGCAAACTACTATTCTAACATATACAATTTCTGAGAATTCTGCATTTCATTTGTTTAATTTGTTATTTTTTTTTTTAATGTGTATGAGTGTATTGCCTGCATGTATGTGAGTGCACCCATGTCGTGCAATGCTGCGGAGGTCAGAAGAGGGCTTTGGAGTCCCCTGGAACTGGAGTTAAGGATGGTTCGTAGCCACCATGTGGGAATCTTGTCCTCTGCAAGAGCAGTCAGTACTCTTAACTGCTGAGCCGTCTCTCCAGCCCCCTGCATTTTGTGATAAGGGCCTGGCATCAACCTCAAACCTTCTCAGCATTACACTCAATGGAGTTGTCCTATCAATAGCCAGAAGAGTGGACACTGCCCATTGTTCCATCCTGTTTTACAAAGACTGCTAAGACATTATCAACTCATCTGAAAATGTGGCAAATTTTAGGTTAATACAAAATACCCAAACACAACAATTTTATCAGAAATCAGTATAACAGTAATTATAATGACTACACTTTTTTCCTCTTCTCGTACAGGCTTAAAACTCATTTTAAACATCTGTATGTGTAAGTGTGGAGTAGTTAACTTGTAGCAGTACTAAATTTTAAAAAGGAGTTTTACTTAGAAAATAGGGAAGTGCAAATGATCTTCAAGGTCGTGTGCTTGAGCCTAGACACTGAGATGCAAATGAGCAGGAGGGGCCAGGAAAACACTGCACATCCGACTCTTAACTCTGAAACTGCCTTCATTAATGCTTCTAACAATTAACCTGCTAAACAGCAGCCATCTTTCCTATTCAGCAGAATAAGGATAGCCGAGTATTGTGGAGCACACCCGTGTGCCAGGACTTATGAGGCCAAGAATCAAAAACTAGAGCTCTCAAGGCCAGCCCAGCCCAGGCTATTCAGTGAGACCCTGTCTCAAAAGCTGTCACATGCAGTAAATCAAATTAAAGGTAGGCTATTTTGAGCTAGGTGTGGTGGCACATGCTTTTAATCTCTGCACTTGGGAGGCAGGCCAGCCTGGTCTACACAGCAAGTTCCAGACCAGCTGTGGCTATAGGGAGACCCTGTCTCAAAAAGATGCCCCCCCCCGCAAAAAAAAAGAGTGGGCTATTTTACCACACAAATAGGAAAAAAGTAGTTTTTCCTTTCAATTGATTTTCTATCACACCAGACAGCAAAAGCACATACAACTCAGTGAAGTGCCCTCGCTTACACGCTGTTTCACAGAGCAGTAGTTACAGAGAACACCTTCCACAATCTTTTTGTTTTTCAGTTGTTTGTTTTGATTTTTTTATAAGTTCTACAGTCTTATACTGTTATATGCGTTTAAAAATGTGTATTATTCAGGGAATTCCACATTTTGAAAATACAGCAATTCTCAAACTTAAGTGGCCATGGCGGAAGCTCGTTTTCAGGGTAGCTTCAATGACTTCAGGAACTTCTTCCATGCGCTGTGGCTGATAGGGACCAGAACCAGCTCCTCCCAGACATCTAAGACACTCTCTTTCCTTCCAGGCCACCAAAATCTCTCCCTGGAACTACTGGCACAGCTTCTGACTGACCTGCTGACCACACTCTCCTATGGAACAGTCTGTTCACCTCAACAGCAGACTTGTACATGAGATCCTGATCTCTTCTCAAGACTCCGCCACCCCACTCCACTCTGCTGAATACCGATTCCCAAGAATCACTTACAGTCCTGCATGGTCTACTGTGCCATCCATCCTCTACTCACATGCAATCTCCGTGCCTCCTACTGTCCCATCAGGTCACTTTCTTGGACAATGGCTTTCATGACATTTCTCAAACATATTGGACACATGCCCTGGTTTTAAAATCATAGGACAACATGACACCACTGCCTGTACTTTCAGTTCCACTGAGCCTAGTTCTTTTTTTCCTTGGTACTTGCTAAATACATCATAATTGCTTAATATGTCATGTGAGGGTTTTATTTATTATTCTTATTTTGTGTGTATGAGTGTCACTGCCTGCATGTGTGTAAGTGCACTCATGTTGTGCAGTGTCCATGGAGATCAGAAGAGGGCACTGGATCCCCTGGAACTGGAGTTACAGATGGTTGTTACCTGCCATGTGGGTGCTGGGAATTGAACCTGGGTCCTCTGCAAGAGTAGCGAGTGCTCTTAACCACTAAGCCATCTCTCCAGCCCCAATGTGGGTTTTTCTAATACTCTTGTAAAAAACATTAAAATGTAAGATCCAGGACATACCTCTTTTTCAGTGACATGACTTCCAACATTTGGCATACAATATGCATTTAATAAATCCTACTGAATGAGCTGGGTGTGGTGGTACATGTCTTTAATCCCAGCAATTGGGAAGCAGAGGCAGGTGGATCTCTGTGAGTTCAAGGCCAGCCTGGTCTACATAGTGAGTTCCAGGACAGCTGGGGCTACAGGAAGACTCTGTCTCAAAAAGACAAAACTACAGAATGATAAAACATAGAAAAAAAATTATTACTGCTTTATTTTTGAATCAGCTGAAAATAATCACTCTAAAATAAACACAAAAAATGATGTTTTTTGAAAAACAAAGTTAATCCATGTTGTATTTAATGTTGCGTCTAAAATAATTTTGTTACCTCACATGTTCAGCTAGAAAAATCTTTTGGTAACTACACTGATAAACAGACTGTTTATAAATTCATAGTTTACAAAGAACACACACCAACCTTATAGGACCTAAGAGGGCTTATCCTGATAATTAGCAAATTAAAGTGAAACCCTATGAATTTCATTTACAAGCTTACAGACGTAGTGTTCTTAGATATCAAACATGAAAGTATTTCAAGAAAGCAAATGTCACATCAGTCACCTATGCCAGTGTGACTAACCATTACATACATCTTTCAAAAGATATTTTATATACTAATTCTTATACATATGTCCCAAAGAAAATAAGTTAGTGTTACCTCTACCATCATCCATTTCACCATCCCTTGAATGCTCTGATTGAATGTCTGGAGGAGTCTGAAGGACAGCCACACTATTCTGATTTATAATCTTCAATTTCAGTTTTGGTTTTGACCGTTTTCTTCTTGGAACTGTAACTGTGAGGCTCTGTAACTGAGTCATCCCTGATTCAGTCAAACATACACCATCCTGGGTGTAGGTCTTAGGTGGATCTAAAATTACAAAAATCCCAAGGATACAAATTTAAGCTTTCATTTTAAATTGACTTTTCATTTTAAATTAGTTTATTATTACTTTAAATATACGCGGCATAGAAATGCAAATGTGTTTCCATTCAGCAATTATCCATGAAATGTATGCATGGATGATGTTAAAACACCAAACTTTTTAGGGAGAAAGGCTGCATGTTTCACTTTGTTTTATTCCTAAACATTTCTGCTTTCATCTATCATGAAAGATTTAGAAAGAAAACACTGAAGTTAACTCAACAACAAGCCTTTTCTTTGAAAAGGGGAAAGGTAAGGATCAACTTATGTAAGAAAACACATGCCCATCTGAAAGTACCAAGAGGATGGCTTACATGGAGAGGGAGCCTATGTATGAAGACCCTGCCCCCTTAGTACAGTGACATACACACATGAAAATGAGAATGAAATCATTCTGAATACTAGCTAAAAATTAACAGTAAGAAATAAATTCTGGAGACTCAAATCTTTAATGTCTAAACTATTGTACGTTAGAACAATTCCTATACAACTCAAATGTTTCTGTATCAGAAATGTTGGCAATATTAGTCAATAAAATAACTTGTGGAAGTATCAAAGGGTCACCATTCCAAGCTATCAGAGAAAAAGTAGTAAAATATTAGATTAATTCTGAATGAGGCTGTTTACTACAGAGGCTTTCTTCCTCTAACTAACAAATGAACAAGCCTGGTAGACACTCAATGAACCCAGGGCAAGAACAACTACAGTTACTTCTTTGAGCTATTATTTTCTTTGGTAAATCTGCTGAAATTCATAGTAATGCTATTGCAGCAAAAGGGGGTTATATGGACATTTTATACACTAATTCTAGAAATAAACATCAATTTATATTGAACATAAACAATTCTGTATATGCACCAAGCCAGTTATTTAAGAATTATTACGTCTTTTCTAAAGAAAAAAAGGATGCATGTCAAGGTTACCTAGCTCTTTGACTTCGGTGACAATTTGTGCTACGAGTGAAGATTCGCAGCGGTCAGAGGAAGGCACTGAAAGGAAAACAATTCAGGAAGCTTTGAAAAAGAAAAGACTTATATATGATTAAAGTACCAGTTTCTGTTTTAATTTCATTCTAACAAACCCATGAATACTATTGGGGGCTCGCTCATGCTACTCAAGTGCCAACCAGTGAGTTCCAGCCCAGCCCCCAAAGCAGGCTTTGTTTCTTTTGAGTTATACTGTTTTTTGAGACAATCTCTCACTATTCAGCTGAGGCTGGCCTGGACCTCAACAGGTAGTACAGGCTGGCCTCAAACTGTCTGCTGCCTCAGTCTCCCAAGTGCTGAGATTATTTAACTGTACATCATTACACTCAGAATCCAAAAGCAGTTTTAAAAACAAGAACAAAACACAAAGAGAAGTCAAGAAGATATGCAAACACGAGTGGGTTTCTAGATTAAGATGACTGTACATGACTAAATTCCTTGAAAGCGGGCTGTAGAGATGGCTTAGTGGTTAAGAGGACCACTTGTTCTTGCAGAGGACCCAGGTTCTGTTCCCAGCAGCTACATAGTGGCTAACAACCACCCATAACTCCAGTTCCAGGGGATTTGATGCCCTCTTGTGACTTCCGAGGGAGTAGCATGACATGGGGCACACAGGCAATATACACACGTAAAATAAAAAGAATAAAGAAAGTAATTCCTTGAAAGCAAGATTACATTTTACATACGAAGATTACATGCTTCGCTTCCTCCCTTTGTGTAAGTAGTTTAAGTTAAGTAATTTTAATAAAGTTGGGATGAGATTGTATTAAATACAAAACTTCTATTTCACAAAATATTAGTTTAAATATTATGTCCATAAAACATAAGTAATTAGATTTAAGCCCACTCTGGTTTATGGACAAGGTGCAAAGGAATCAAAGAAAGTCCCAGGGACGCACAACTCACAATTTATGTTATTTTCTTACCATAGGACGCAGGCATATAGGGTCTGCACATGCTACAATCAAAACCAATGTCTGCTACATTTTCCACTTCCTCTTCAGTATTTAAATTTTGACAAACTGCATGCATCCATCTAAAAAGACCACATTTGTACATTTAAAAGAAATTCAATATACTAGAAACTATTTCCTTTCTTAAAATCAAAACAGGAGTTGACCTGAAACTTAAAAGGCCCAAGTCTAAAATGCTCCTACCAGCTCATTGTAGCCTTCTCTCTTCACTTCCCCTATTGACCTACAAGACCTTTCATAGTGCTGAGAAGCAGAAAAATTAATTAACTAAATAACAAGTAAACAATTACAAGAACAGAAACAAGTACTAAAGAGGAAGCAAGTGTCCTACTACATGAAGCAGATAATTGTCCTTTATAATCAAAAAGACCTCTATGACCAAAAAGCAACGAAGCTTCTCAGGGATGGTCAACAGGAACTCAGAAACACACCGGATCTATACTCCATGTGCTGCACCTAACTAGGGACAGGCACGAGGGTGTCAGGATTAGCAACTGGGAAATAAAGCAAAGGATTTGCCTTGCTTTGGAATAGAGTTTCTAGGAAGAGTGCTACAAAAACTGCACCTTTACCAACAAAAAAAGAAAAAATGACTGATGAAGGGACACTTCGTGACATCGTGCAATGGTGCTTAACTGCTAACAGGGCAAGAAACTATCAATAAAGATAAAACATTTTTTTATTTTGAAGCTGCACACACATCTACTTAGGAAGATCTAAGGTCGTTTATCTAGTATCTAGATACTAGGTCTGGAACTTTAAGAAAAGTGGTGTTAAAACAAAATAGAGTGGCCAGGCATGGTGGCACAAGCCTTTAATCCCAGCACTAGGGAGGCACATGAATCTCTGAGTTCAAGGACAGTCTGGCCTACATAGCAAGTTCCAGGGCAGCTATGGCTGCAGGGAGACCCTGTTTCAAAAAGCCAAAAAAAAACACAAGTGTGGGAGACCATTTTTAGAATCTACCAGAAGATTCTGAAATTCTCCATAAGAAAATGTATATATGCACGCACCAATTATGTGTCTAATTTTAAGAGACTGATAAACCTTCGAAAAGTCCCTAATTAAAAGTCTTAAAAGTCTAAAATTGGAAATTTGAAACATGAAAATTATTCTGGAAGCTTACAAACTAAAAAATCTAGAAAGCAAAGTTTTGTTCCTTAAATTTACAATCAAGTTATTTTCTAAGTTCCTTTTGGTACATTTGAGGGCAAAAAAAAAACTTACAAAAGATGGCAAAGGAAACAAACTGGCACGATACCTATCGCATTGTCTACACTGCAGAATAAGGTCGTCTTCTCTATAGTTCCGACAGCAGGCCGGACAGGAAGACAAGCTGGCACAAGGAGCACACTGCGTGTAATTGTTCTGCCATTCACACCGCTGACCTGCAGACGTCGCTCCACAGTGTCTGCACCACACGCACCTGAAACCCAAATCCCCCCCAAAGTCTCGAGTTTATTTTCTTATTCAACTACGACAGTTTGCGAGGCCACAAGTACACAGAATGAGAGGAAATCATTTTACATGCAAAAATGTTCCTGATTAGTATGAATCACGAAAACTATGGGTTATATTATTAAATACACACGACTTCTTTTATGAAAGCAACATGGCATGAGGGAGTGGAGAGCTTGAAAGATTGACAAGACAACCCGAATCCTGGAGTACCATTTGCATTTCCAGCCTCCTTTGGGAACTGTCTGCAACGGAGGGTCTAAACAGTAGGTATGATAACTTATGTCACAGTCATCACACAGCAAGAGTCTTCCTGGGTCAGTCGCCTTCCCACAGGCCTCACACACCGTGCACTCAAGACATCTCCAACCTTTGCTAAGAACCACTTTAGTGATCTGCAAAAGAAACCACCAATTCAAACGATTTATACATTAAATAAGAAATCATTTTTGTACAATCAGAGTATTACCAAAAATATTATTGTGGTACTGTATGCTCAGACAGAGAAGAAAAGCAAGCAAGTATCACTGGTGACCCGACACTGAGCAGGGCACACCGGCAGACTTTTCAGAGACCAGGGATCAAACTAGGTGAAAGTGGCACTTTCACCTAGTGGACCTGAAAGGCGTGAAGGGGCTGTTTCAGAAGGGGAGCTAGAGTACTTTCGATTTTTAACCATGCCTCCTTAGTAATGGGATTGGCATATTCATTTTTAAATGTCTCAAACTACCAAGTTATAATCTGTTATTTACCAAATGAAGAGCGAAGAGCAGGAAAAGCATGGTGGAATAGTGCAGTAAACAGCAAATTTTACAGAAAATGGACAGGTAAATATTTAAGGTTTCTGGGCCCTGTGGTCTGTTGCAACTGCTGAGCAAAAAAAAAAAAAAAAACACTAAAAATGTGTAACTAAAGAGCACTGCTATGTTAAAATAAAGGTTCCTGTGTGAACTGGCGTGGGCCGCGATGCACAAACCCCTGACTTACAAGTATAAGACAGAGCTTAGGAAGGTGAGGAAGAACATCACAAAATATCATCTTCATACTTGCTCTGTTTTCTTATTCACGGACACCTACCCAGGGATCCTTTTAACCAGACTCTCAGGTACTTGGTCTGTACTTACTGAGACAATATATCTTGGTTTCTAAGTCTCCGTCCACCTTAATCATTCTGACTACCAGATCTAATCAATAAATAGGTGTCAGGGTTACTTCAGCTATTCACAGGACTGCAACACTTGGACAATTTCTCGCCTTTTGAGATTTCTAGTACCTTAAAAAATAGAGCTAATCATTAATTAATTTTTCAGTTGGAATTATTTAATTTTAACATTTAAAAGTTCTTTGTACTCTATTTAAGGTCCAAAGTAGACTTATGAATGTATTATACATATCTATTTCAGCTACAACGAAGCAGGAATAGTCCTTTCTCCCACTATCAGAGAGCACAAAACTTGGCAAACCGTGTTAAAGTGGCTATCACAAAGAAGAATGTGGCCTCTGGGGGAGGAAGAGCAGAGAGGAGGCTGAGTCCTGTGATACTTTGCTGACAGGCAACTTCTACAATGCTGCCCAGTGAGGGAGAGTCACGGTGCAACAGTTTGCTAAGTTGGTAAGACATGGAGTTCAGAAAAAGTGGAGCAATTAGAACTCTCAGGACAGTACTGGAAAGTAGAAGAGCAGGAACGAATAAGTGATCTAAAAATCGAGACAGGACTCCAGTGATGTCCTGGACTGACTGTTAACCTGCACATATTCAAGGCAGACCAACAAGGGAAAAAATACCTACTGGAGATTTATAAGCATAATAAATGGCCAGAGCGCACCCAAGGCTGGAAAATGTGTATTTCAGCCCATTAGGGTGTGAAGACACTGGTGATCAGGTGGTGAGATCCAACAGAGACACAGAAGTGAGGGGCTGACACGGGGAAAGCAAGCACTAGCACATTACCAGGGCGCTAGAGTAGAGCTATTCTACTGCTAAGGCATAAGTTTTTATTGCAGCTGGATTTAGTGACAAAGGTATGGTATTTTCAGAGGCTCTGATATAAAGCAACATCACAACACTGATGTCATACAAGCTACATGTATGCTCTTGTATCCTGCTTTGATTTTGGAAATGGTAAATATTTAATAGTCACAGCTAACATAAAACATTCTATTATTTGTAAGGAGCGTGACTTTATCAACTATAGGATGAAGGCTCATTGGACCTATGCAAGGAAAATGAAAAAGATTCAAAAAGTTTATCCAAACACAACTGACCACCAAAGACATGACACCCTAAAAGGAACCATACACAGCCAGGAAAGCATGTGCTTTCTACCTGGGGGGGTAATTAGTTAATAAAAGAGCTTGCTAATGTTATGATCTCAATTTATATAAGAAAGGTTCAGTTAATCTGTAAATAGAAAAATTGTTCAATTAAAAGTACTGGGTGGAGGGGCTGGACACCCACATGGTGGCTACGAATCATCCTTAATTCCAGTTCCCAGGGAACCCAAAGCCCTCTTCTGACCTCCGTGGCATTGCATGACATGGGTGCACGCACATACATGCAGGCAATATACTCATACACATAAAATAAAAAAATTTTTTTAAAAGTTCTGGGTGGGGCCTTTGAATCTTAACTTCCCTGCTAAGACTGCTACCTCGGTAGGAAAAGAAACTGGCTACGTTATTAAGTGGACTCACAAGAACTGACAATCCCAACTCAATAGGGATCATAATCCATATCCTAAGATAAGAAATGTAAATACTCTAAAGTCAAAGCACAGAGCATTTAGAATATGAAGAAACAAAGAAGTAATCTTTTTAGTGCACACACAATTCTTTTTTTTAATTGGCTTTAGACTGAGGGTTTCAATTTTTCACTGTTTACTGTGCACACGAAGAAGGAATGAGGGCATGCAATTCACAGCCAATTTGTGGAGATCAGAGGACAACTTTGTGTAGTCAGTTCTCTCTTTCCACCTTTAAATGGGTCCAGGGGATCAAACTTGGATTGCCAGGCTTGAGTAGCAAGCATCTTTACACACTGAGCATCTCACCAGTCCAGACAAGGTTTCTTTTTTTTTTTTGGAAAGGCAACATGCTATGAGCAACAAATTTGGAAAGATCATATTCATTGCATGGATTAGTCTTCTACTTTAGATAGATTAAGCTCACTTCATTCAGTTCCTTAGAACAGTTAGAGTCTCCTGGGAACACATGCTGCTCTGCTTATTATTATACAGGTGTCTTGGATAAACAATGACATCACATAGTGGTGGTGAAGGGCAAGAAAGAAGGCATAAAGACCATGTGTAAGTTCAGAATGATTCATGACCTAGAAATTAAGGCCCATGCTTATCCTACATGGTGTGGCAAGATCAGCAAGAACAGTGTTTCATGTGGAGCAGAACCCTACACCTATAGCTGGCCGCTTTGAGTGACCGTTTGTTACTTTACTCGATTATTTTAAGATTCATTAAAACTGAATTCTTACAAAGAAATAGAGATTAGTTCAACAGCTAGAGTACTGAGATTTGCCTGTTTTTGTTTTTGTTTTGTTTTTTTTTTTTTTTGGAGACAGGGTCTCCCTGGAAAGTACTATGTAGACCTCTGCTGCTTTAGCACTGGGGTTAAAGATGTGTAATAGCATATCTGACTCATGCCCATTTTTAAATACTGTTAAAACCAAGTACTGGGCTACTCCATAAAAGGCTTCTTAGTGTCTAATCAGCAGTGCTTGCAACTGAGGGTTTCAGCTCTTGATTATTACTCACTTGCATGAAATATGGTATTTGTTCTGTTTTTAGCTGTAAGGAGAAAATGTAAGGAGACCCAAATAAGCAAATAAGCGTAACTAAATACTATGCCTATTCTGAAACTTTGTAGTCAGTTTTGTAGGAAAATGAAAAAAAAAGGATAATGCCCGTGCTGGATAGCTTTAGTGCCAACTTGACACACGTGAGTTGAGGGAATTGGGGAATTTCCTCCATTGGACTGCTCTGTGGCTATGTCTGTGAGGCGGTGCCACGCCTGGGCAGGTGGGCCTGTGTTGCATAAGAAAGCAGGCTGGCCAAGCATGGTGGTGCACGCCTTTAATTTGAGCACTCAGGAGGCAGAGGCAGGTGGATCCTGGTGAGTTCAAGGCCAGCCTGGTCTACATAGTGAGTTCAGGTCTGCTGGGACTGCAAGGAGATCAGGTCTCAAAAAGACCAAAAAAAAAATATATATATATACATATATATATATATATATCAAGCATGCTGAGAAGGGGCCAGGGGAGCAAGCCAGTACGCAGTGTTGCTCCATGGCCTGTGCTCCAGCTCCTGCCTCCAGGTTCCTGCCCTGAGTTCCTCCCTTGGACTCTCTGATGAACTGTGACCCAGGAGACCTAAGCCTAATAAGCCCTTTCTTCCCCAAGCTGGTATTGATCAGACTGTTTTGCCACAGCAATGGAAAAACTAAAACAATACCTTAAATAGCGACAGGATAAATTGCTTTTTAAAGTAAGTAACTGCATTTTCAATGTCCTTTACAACACAATTAGTACACATTAGCATGCATAATTAGTATAAGTTAAGACCACTGATTTTTATGAGATAATTTATGGAGGAACACTTAAAAGCAATATTTAAGCTTCTTAAAACACGGTCACATATACATAACAACAACAACTATATCACGTATAATGGAAATGTGATTAATGGTACCATATTAGGTACTCAAACAATAAAAATTTCAATATGGCTTGGTTGGGGCCAGTGAGATGGTTCAGAGGGTAAAAGTGCTGGCCACAGAGCCTGACAATCTGAACTTCCTTCCCAGAAACTAAACAGTGGAGAGAATCAACTCCCACAAGTTGTCCTCTGACCTCCACATATACACCATAGCGGGCACACAAACAAATGAATAAATAAATGCAATAAAAAATGGAGAAATGCTTTCGTTGACTCACTTAACTTAAGCATCTTTACCTTAATACTGACACAATACGGATGGTAACACTGACCACACTGAGAACAGGCCAGTAATCTTCCTTCTGCTCCTTGGCCAAAACTGCCACAAACCACACACATGTCCTGAAATAAAGAGCATGTAAAGCTATTTTAAATTATAGATAAAGTGAAGAATATGTGAATGACTAAAATATATTCCTAATTAATATAGCACTACAGCCTATGTAAGATGTATCTGTATAGGATGGGGCATAGTAAAAACGAACAAGAATTGAGAAAATGAAGATTAAGTTCAAACCTGATGCAAGGTGAACTTGTCACTACTAGAAAACAAAACAACCGTATTGTGCATAGAGTTTTCTTCTTCATCTTTACTTGAAGAAATGTCTGCAGCAGATACCTACAAAAAGCAAAATACAGCAAACGTGAAGTTACGTTACTTACTGGTATTGCACCTAACTGAAAATTCACATCCAAAATATAACTTTTGCCAGTGATTAGACTAATAATTTCAAATAAATTAAATAAAAAATGCTATGAGTCATAGTCAGGCATGGTTTTGTGTACTGATAATCACAGCACTGAGAAGGCTGAGGCAGGAGGATGGCAAGTCTGAGGCCAGCCTGGGCCATGTAGCAGGACCAGGTTTCTAAATTAAAGAGCCAAGATTTTTTTTTTCCAATGAATTATTTCTTTAGACTTAGAAGAGCTATACATCAGGAAAAATGAAAAACTATAAGCCTGCCTTTAGTAATATGTGATTATCCAGAAATTGTAGCACCTGTATATACATACATATCTATTTTGATGACACTTGAGAATGGCAATGCGATTAGCTGGAACTGAGATAAACTCTAATACGTGCAAATTTTCAAATACTCTGCACCAGAATCAGAATATGAAGCTAGGTCATCACTAACTTGGTATACGTTATTTGTGGAAAGGGTAGTATTTCAGAAAGAAGGGTCAAGTGGTATGCATTAACTTTGCTGCTTCATCCTAACTTGTTTAATGTGGCTACCAGGAAATGCTAAACTGCACATGTGGTTCCCACTTAGTTCTCTTAGACAGCACTACTTTTGGTATCAGAATTCTGAATAGCTTATAAAAATGTCAGTATGAGCCAAACAATTATCAATCATGGATGCTCATTTCTAAACTTGGATATTTTTCACCAAATCAAGTAGGTACAAAACCTCTGAATTAAATGCAGTAACAGAGAACACCAGGAAGCCAATATTAAAATGATAATATGCAGTCTTCTTTCCCTTAAAAAAGTTAGAACCAAGCCGGGCGTGGCGGCGCAGCCTTTAATCCCAGCACTTGGGAGGCAGGCGGATCTCTGTGAGTTCAAGTCCAGCCTGGTCAACATAGTGAGTTCCAGGCCAGCTAGGGCTACAGGGAGACCCTGTCTCAAAAAGACCGAAAAAAAAGAAAAAAGAAAAAGTTAGAACCTACCCTGAAAATGTTATGGTCAAAGACAAAGCAAAAATAATAAACTTATTTTCTTGAGGAATGGTAGAAAAATTAACCAGAAGAAATATATTGCTATTTTAAATTTAAACACATGTAAAAGTTTTAATGGATAGTACTAAAATAATGTTTTTATGATCAAGTCAGTAATAATAGCAATTTAAAGTCATAAAAACACTTGATAACTACAAGGAAAAATTATAAGCAATCTAAATATTTAACACTAGAAACTGACAGGCTAAACCTAAAATTCATATACGAAAGGCCTGATCTGTCCAAAATGATGTTGAAAAAGTTAAAGAATCAGAAGACTTTCTGATTTCAAGAGTTATTAAAAAACACTAATCAAGGGAGTGGAATACTGACCTAAAGACAAAGAAACAGAACATCAGCATGGCATGCAGATTCCAAAAACAGATCCACATGTGGTAACTAGTGTTCAGGGATCTAAAACTAATTATTTAGGTAAAATAAATCAGACAGACAGTATATTCTACATGATCAAGTCCAGAAAAAATAACACATCTATAGTGAAGGAACTCAAATGAATTATACTTAGGGACAAAGACTGGTGGCAAAACGGGGGGCCAGAGCGACCACAGAGGAGACTGAAGAAATTTTAAGAGATCAAAGGCTTCAGTATCTTGATTGTAGTATGGCTTTCAAGGGTATAGACACACCCTTATTATGTATGTAAAATATCTATATCCTCATATCAATTATACCTCAGTAAATTTTTTGTTTTGTTTTTGAGACAGTATCTCCCTGTATAGCCCTGGTTAGCCTGGAACTTGCTATACAGACCAGGCTGGCCTTGAACACTCAGAGATCTACCTGCCTCTGCCTCAACAGTGCTGGGATTAAAGGTGTGTGGCCACCAAACTTTTTCTTTTAAAGACTATAATCCAAGTTTTCTTGTCAATGGTTCACAGTAAAATTGTGTAATTTCGTTTGTATTTTGAACTTAAAATGACATTTAGGATGTAAAACAATGAGATTTCAGTGAAATAGTAAAGGTACTAAATAAAATATTTGCCAATACTTACCAAATATATTTTCAATTCATGTTTAAAGGAAATTCAATGATGTGACAATTGGTAAAATTCACAATCCTAAAATAGTCAAACTCTTGAACACTATTTGGTTGATTTACATCATTTCTCATTTTTTCCTGAGTCTTATAATACTGACAGCAACTGTAATAAAACGTTTAAATCCCAACCTAACAAAGTTTTTCAGACAAAAGAATTCAATACTATAATTAAAAAAATAAAAACACAGGTTACAAATTCACATCAAAGGCATAAAAAGGTTCAAAGAGGAAAGAGAGAAAAAGGCGAAAAATCAGAAATTAAAACCTGAGGGCCGGGCAGTGGCGCACGCCTTTAATCCCAGCACTGGGGGCAGAGGCAGGCGGATCTTTGTGAGTTCAAGGCCAGCCTGGTCTACA